TGAAATGAACACATCATGGTGGAGTGCAGTGGAGAGAAATGGTTAATAAAAATGGACATGATTTTGCAAAAATCCTTTATAAAATGGAATTACAAAGAGATGACGATCCCTTTCTTGGGATTCCTCATCCTCAGTCTCCTACTACTTACTAATTGTGATCATCATGTATGCATTTTAGGAGCACCAGATTATGTAAAAGAAAATTTTCATTTTAATTCATTACACAAAGAAGCATATTGGGTTGTGGCTTTAATATTTTTATGGTTATGATAGTAGTGCTGTATTTTAAATAACAGTAACAAAAATTATATTTCCATAATTGTTTTTCCATATTAATTCTACCACACTATCTTATAAGTGAACTTACTGTGGAAAAGATCTGAATGAACCATCATGCCTTAACCCAAGGAAAAAATATTATGACTTTCATTTATCATGTTAACATTGTACTTTCCTTGGGTAATTGTTTATCGTATCATGGTAGGAAGACTAGATGTTCTCATGCTTTTTAAATAATTGCTTCAATATATCAATATGGGTTTATTTTTTTCCTCAGGGCCGGTGCATAAACTTCTCCCGAGTTCCATCTCAGTAAAAGGGAAGTAGGAAGACCAAGAAGGTACGAAGATGGCACATTTTCACATTGCTGATTTTCAACCAAATGAAAAAAATCAAGTGCATTTCAGAAGCTTTTGGAAGAGCAGCTTAATTCCTCTCAGTCAGGAAATGTTTTCTCTGCCTTCTGCTTTGCTTGCCCCAAACATTTTCAAACACTTGTTCTGCCATCTACATGGGAGATGATGAAACTCAGTGGTAACTCATGATTTATGACATTGAAGATAAAGAGGAACATTGACCTGCACACTATGGTTTGTAAAAGAAAGTTTGTTTGAATGTATAGAAGAAGGAAAAGCTGCAAGAGCAACAACATGAAGATGATATCAAAATAGGGACTGCAAAACAACTAGCCATGATGGGAGACAGGAGTTTTTTACATGGAAACATGGCACTTGTGTTTTTATGTGCCAAGATCTTTATCCATAGGCAGAGTATGAAATTTCCCACCAGGCTAAGCAAATAAAGAAGTACATTGCCTTATAGCTATGTCAGATCACAGAATCCTTCCAAGTCCCCTATCACAGTGTGCCTTACGGGAAGTTTCTGACTGGAAAATCTTGTCATTCTAACACTGAAAAGTGCACACGCATGACAAAATGTAGACAAGATGCCTCAAGGTATTGGTAGCAAGCAAGATTTTGCCCTTTAGTTTTCGAAGACACCTTTCTTTCATTATGCACTTGAGACAAGAAAATTAATAGAGCGTTATTCCACAGAAAGACAGCCTCTAGCCAAAGATCTTGAGTGGAGTACAAGGGACTCATGCTTTGTGAACTTGTCCCTGTGACTGGTAGATTCCCCCTTTTCCTATGTTTAGGATGTAGTAGTGCATAAAGCATTAATATCCATAAACATACCTAGAAGTTTGTTTTGCTTTTAATTTAAAGGAAGCAGTAACCACAAAGCTTCCGCTCAGGGTTTTTTCTTTCTTCAAGTCTCCAAGGGCTCTTCAGCGTCACAAGCCAGCAACTCTCTTTGCATGAAAATTTCAAAGTTTAATTAATATAATTAAAAGCAACAGCAAGCAGCAGCCTGTGAAGATTTTGCTCATCTTTTTTATGCCTTTTGACATTGAATGACCTATTACTGTATGTGCATTACTTGGATTTTGAGGGGCACTCTACCTTGGTTATGATTCGGTAGAGGAAAAAGACCTCCTTTCTTCAATTTACAAATTAAATCTTCAGGAGGGTCACCATCACAAAACATTGACGATGTATGTATGATAATTTTTTAGAAAAACCACCATCGTGTCACGTTGATGATGCCAAATTATGTTAGCGTGAGCAGAAACACTGTGGGGGAGGAAGGCAGCAGCCAAAGAAAAAAGCTCAAATGATCTAGTCACTTTTGATACTGTACTTCAGATGCGAAATGGATATTCGACTGGAAACCTGACAAAGCGTGCCTGCTTTGATGTGAACTGGTATAGACAATGACCAGTGGCTGGGTCAGTGGGATGTCTCTCTGCGAGCACAAAGGCTTATCAAATGACACTAAAAATAAGTTCAACAACCATCACATTGGAAGGGAGAAGGCGAACATTTCATGTTTGGCGGGCATGTGAGTGCACAAGATGGAAGGAGTGATTGGAGCATCCTGGTATAATTACCCACATTGTGCTCTTAATGGAAATTTCAAAGGATGAGAGTGATTCTGTTGGTTGGTGTCCAGGTTTGTGGCACTCTTCCAAGAAGCCTTACGCACACAAACAAATATATAATTATCTATACATATGTATCATCTAGCTTGAAACTTTTGCTCAAGTTTATTTATGTCACTGGCTGGCTGGATCCAAAGTCATGTGTTCACACATTCAAAATAAAAATTTTACCTGTGCCTGTGCTACCATTTCTTTAAGCCCACATAAAGCCTTCTTGGGTTGAATATGCAGTTGTTCTGCTTGGTTTCAGGAATGGAATTCTATTCAGTTCCAAAATGTCCCTCATGTTCACAGATGATACTATTGGCAGTATCTGCGTATGCAAGTGTAACTTGGAAGCCTGATATAGTATACCCAACCCTTTCTGCAGTGAGTTCTTACATCCCTTTGTTCTGCATTTGCATCTGGAACAAGACCTAATGCTCCTCCTTAAATGTGCACTTCATTTCTGATGAGTGCACGCCCATTATTGCTATTTTAATAGCATTGAGAATATTACAGAAGCTAAAGCTATGTTTCTTTCATAACTACTTTAAATTTATCTAGAATTATGTAGTATACTTGGATTTTGCTGTATTAACAATGTAAATTAACCTCTGCCTTTAAATGGAAAGATTTCTATAGATTATTATATAGCTACTACCAAGAGTTCTCAGTGAAGAGGAAGTGGCAATGGTCTATATGTATACTAAAAAAATACCATTCGTAAAGTTCAAAGACTGATGGAATTTCATTGCCCATAAAGATAAGAACCAGATCTGCTTTATGCTTTTCTCCAATTCTTGTCAACTAACTAGCAGTTGAAAAGAATTCATTTTAAAGAGTGTTATTTTCTTACCAAAAGACCAGATCAAAAATCCCTATAATTTTTAACCAAAAAAAGATTAAAGCCATTTCTATAAAGTTAATGACATTTTGTATTTTATATAGAGAAATAGCTTCTGTTTGATTTTCTGGACATGATGTCAGTCAAAATCTACTTTCTGTGTAAAAATGAGTAAGTCTTGCACATAATCCATTCGTGTTGCATAAGGTTGCAAAAACAATTAAGTGGGAAATGACTCCTAACTTATGTGTCTACTCTGCCTAGAAAGAAAGTTTTGAAGGCATCTATATATATTTCATAACAATGTCTGTTCTTTATGGATTTGATCCATAAATATTTATCTATCTGAAAACTTTGATACTTGGAATGTTTTCCTTAGAGCATTTGGTGCTCCAAGAAAAAACATTTGGTGCTAAGAGTTGCAGCATTGATGCCTTTCCCCAAGTTAATTCTATTTTAAAAATTTATATTTCCTTCCCAATGAGATGCAGAGTAAAATTTGAGACCCTCCATTGACTAAGGAGCAGCATCTGTCATCTATGGTTAATTACTATTTTGACAAAAATATAGAAGATTTAACCCCCTCTGTATTTCAAATTGTTAGAAAAATAAGTAGTTTGCTTATATTTCCCTTGAACTTTAACCATTTAAATAATAAATTATTCAATATTTGCTATAATAAATCCTTACTAGGTATAAGATTTGGGTGTCTCTGTGAACTTAACTTTATTATCTAAATATCACTAACCATAGTTTACTGCTCAGAGGCAGATATATTTGTTTATTTTAAAATTGAAACAAATTATATATTGTGGATAATTAAGTGTTTAAAACATTTTGATAGACCAGCTTATGTATATTATTTTTGAAATTTAAGAAGGCAGAATATAAGTAGGTCACATTTACAAGTGTAAAGAATTATAACTTCTTCCTCCATGCATATATTTTATTTGGTTAGCTTTAACTAGCGTTTTCTACAGCATCACATTACTTTAGAAACTTTTTGAGAGTTTCATTACTACTGGGAAATTTTGGTGAGTATATGTACACAGGAGAGAAATAAATGCATTGTTTTAATCTAAAAACAGAATAACTCAGGTACATCTGTTACGTAGTTAAGGAAAGAAACAGGCAGGTGAGGCTGGAGAATGTTGTCTATTTGTAGGAAATGAAGTCAGTGTAGATGCATATTCTAGTTGCAGAGTTAGATTAATCTTGTCCTTAGTGAATTTCTGTCATATTTCTGAGAACACTAGTATATTTCTACACTTACTAGAATCTAATTCAGTTGATTGGATAAAAGAAAGACTTTTTTTTTTTTTTTTTTAAATCCGTAATGTAGCAAGTCCTGTGCTGGTTTTTAAAATGTATTTTATTTTTGTGTTTTCTTGCCAAAAGAAAAGGCTGATAAGTAAGTACACAGTACAACATGTAAATTTATATAAAAATGTGCTTGTTTAGATGGCTCTACATTAACTATATTAAGGTAAATTGTGTGTGTGTGTGCGTGTGTGAGAGAAAGAGAGAGAGAGAGAGAGAGAATTGACTCACTGTGTTTCATACAAAGAGCTTTAGCTTAGGAATCAGGTGACAGAGAGGTTCTAGACCATAGACCCAGCCATCAGCTGGCTTGCTAATTTTGAACAGATCAACTTCCCAAACATAGACTGAAGATGGAATGAAGATATCAAAAGTTCCTTTCAGCTCTGACTAGGTTTTTTTTTTTTTTTTTTTTTTCTGAAACAGAGTCTCACGTCGTCACCCAGGCTGGAGTTCAATGGCATGTAATCGGCTTACTATAACCTCTGCCTCCTGGGTTCAAGTGATTCTCATGCCTCAGCCTCATGAGTAGCTGGGATTATAGGCACACACCACCATGCCCAGCTGACTTTTGTATTTTCAGTAGAAATGGGGTTTCACTATATTGTCCAGGCTGATCTCAAACCCCTGGCCTCAAGTGATCCTCCTGCCTCAGCCTCCCATTTGCCAGGATTACAGGCATGAGCACCAGGCACCAGGTCTCTGACTACGTTTCTATTAATATGGTTAGGTTGGAGGTTTTAGTATTTATGTATCTCATATTTCTATCAGTATGACTGACTTCTATATATGTAGTATGTGGTAATATTAGCTCTGTAAACTGTCAGTTACAAAAAAAAAAAAAAACACCTTGAACTTTAGTATATGTTGATAATTAGCCATAATACTTTCTTAGTTCATTTCTTCTAACTAAAATTTGTCAAGGTTGATAATTAGCCATAATAATTTCTTAGTTAATTTCTTTTAACTAAAATTTGTCAAAGAGTCAACTTATAGTTTATAGCTGATTAAATCTCTAAAAAGATGAGTAAAACATTGGGAAATTTATCTATTGCATTTCACCTTGCTTCTTAGGTTTAGGAAGTGCCTCAAAGGCATATATAAAGAAGGACAGAATTGTTACAAGATATTTATGCTATCATTTTTAATAATTGGGATACTTTGTATACTGCAGAAAGAAAAATTAACTAAACTCCTTTTTTGTTAGTCAAAATTGGAAAAAAATCTTAATTGACAGTAGCTATGCCTTTACTGCCCATAGCAAGTATTCAGTGGGAAATACTTTATTGAGTAATTTGAACACAGCTTAGAACCCACAGTATGTTAGAATTGCTAGCCTTTCAAAAAGCTTGCATTGTCTTAATGTAGAAGGATACTGTGAACTAAGAATTCAGTTTTAAAAAGTGGACCCTAAATAAGGTTTCCTAATCGCATGAAGTTATTTGTATCTTAGATGAATTATATTTACAACATTGAAAATGTCAGTGGGTGATCCAAAATAAATTGTAAAAATTATTAAAATATACATTTGAATAGGTTTCAATTTGACTAGAAATAATTGGCAAGAAGGCAAGAACTAATCTTCTAGAGCAGGGGCCCCATCCCCCAGGCCATGGACTGATACTGGCCCATGGCCTGTTAGGAACCAGGCCACACAGCAGGAGATGAGTAGCAAGCAAGTGAAACTTCATGTGTATTTACAGCCACTCCACATCACTCCATTACCACCTGAGCGCTGTCCCCATTGATAGCAGCAGCAGCATTAGATTCTCAAGGAGCATAAACACTATTGGAACTATGTGTGCAAGGGATCTAGGTTGCGCATTTCTTATAAGAATCTAATGCCTGATGATCTGTTGTTGTCTCCCACCACCCCCCAGATGGAATCATCTAGTTGCAGGAAAACAAGCTCAGGATCCCACTGATTCTACATTATAGTGAGTTGTATAATTATTTCATTATATATTACAATGTAATAATAATAGAAATAAAGCACACAATAAATGTAATGCACTTGAATTATCCTGAAACCATCCCCATCCCCCATGCCCCAGTCTGTGGAAAAATTGTCTTCCACGAAACTGGTCCCTGGTGCCAGAAATGTTGGATATTGTTGTTCTAGGGTGTAGACTATGAAAAAAATATGCATTGCCTTCATGAACTAAAAGGCAAGGTGATTTTAAAACAATTTAGATGCCAAACAAAGGAACAGAAAGCTTCCAAAATCATAAACGATGGGAAAGGAAATTGTTGCTTCATGTGCCAAATTAGAAGCAAATCTAAACTTCTTAGCATACTTATGTACTCCACCATCTGATTTGTATAAGTAATTGGGGAAAGAAAAACTCACAATATAAAACAAGATTGACTAGTTCTAGCAGATGACACCTGTAAATAGAATTGTTACTAGTTGAAATTCTGATGTGAAATGAAACCATTATTATTTTCACAATAAAGTGTTCTTTTTAGTTCTTTTTTTAATATCCTCTAATTCTGAAAGTCTCTGTTAATTAAACAGAGCAATGACAGACCTGCATCTTCCGTAAATACTTTGTGTGAGGCTGTCACATGGAAAAAAAGATCATATTTTAAACAATATGTTCAAGTGTAAAAATTCTTCAACAAATTCCTAATGTTTTAAAAAATGGGGAAAAATTTTAGTAGTTTTAACTTAATGTCTTTGGAGTCTTCATAGTAAGCTAAGTACTTCAGAAAGTTTGAAATGATTTTAAATAATTGTTTTAAAGGATATCATAGACTAAACTATGACATGGAATATTTGTGTGCTTTTTCTCATTTTGAGAGGTGTGATAAGGTTACAATTACAGAACACTAAAAAAGAAAAGAAAATTACAGTGACATTATTGGTTGCTCAGCATCTCTGTATTCCTGTCAACACCCAAAAAGCTCTGAGGTGGTGAATTTATACAGTTAAATCAGTGATTTTTATAATTCTAATTCAAAATAATAGAGAAAGGCCAACCTAAAATTTATTTTAAGTTATAACTTTTATTGAGCTAGTAGAGTAAAAATAGCTTACTCCTCAAATTATTCCTTTAAGATCATAAATAAAGCAGAAGATATCTGTTTTATTTGCCTTAAAAATATTTCCCTTCAAAAATCAGTCTGATAAATCTCAATTCAGGGTCATTACTGCATATGTTTATCATTTCTAACTTTTTCAAAACACTTTAAATATCAATTAAATTTAGAAAATAAGGCTTGTATTAGTTTCCTCTTGCTGCTGTAACAAATTACCACAAACAGTGACTTAACACAACACAAATGTATTCTCTTACAGTTCTGGAGATCAGAGGTCCAAAATTTGTTTCAATTAGATAAGATTTCAGCAGGAATAGCTCTTCCTAGAGGCTCAGAGAGAATGACTTGTTCCCTTGGCTGAAGTAGCTTCTAGTAGCTGCCAGAATTCCTTAGGCTGTGGCCCCTTCCTTCATCCTCAAAGCCTATCACTCCGTCCTCTGCTTCAGTCATTATATCTCCTGTTGTGGCTGCTTTTCTGCCTCCCTCTTATAAGGACCACTGTGATCACATTGGACCCACTCAGATTATCCTAGGTAAACTTTTTGTGTCAAAAACCTTAACATAATCATGCCTGCTGAGTCCCTTTTGCCATAGAAGGTAGCAATCACAGGTTTTGGGAATTTGGGTGTGAACATCTTGAGGGTCCATTGTTTAGCCTACAGTAAAGCTTATAATCATTTTCTTTTTATTGAATATTTACCTGCATCTAACACCATGAGAAGATACACAAGATAAGTTCAGTTTTCTACTTTAGAACTTTACCTGCCCAAATTTTTTAGCTCTTGTTACACTGGTGCTATTTATTTATTTATTTATTTATTAACTCCATTAGTCTCCTTTCTACTGCTTTATATTTTACTTGAGATTTTTCTCAGAAAAGGAAAAATTCCAGATAATAAATTCTTGGAAGATTTTTGCCAGATGAAAACCTTCATCCAAAACTGAGAAACAAATGACAGGTTATTGTTGCCTCTGGAGCATTTACTTGGCCTGTCTGCACATGCCTAGAAGTTAACCTAGAGTCAGTCCCTGTAATATTTTCTGCTGTCATACTGAAAATCTACTTAGAAGGTATTGAAATATCACCAGGAACAAAGAACAAAAATAAGTTGATATTCTAATGCTAACATCAGGTGTTAGAAAGTTTTCTCCACCTGCTGGGTTTTTTTCTCCCATAATTAAAAACAAAAAATTAAAGAAAGGAGACTGATTTTAAAGTCAATAAAACTAGGCCTGGTGTGATGTCTCATACCTGTAATTCCAGCACTTTGGAAACCTGAGTCAGGTGTATCACCTGAGGTCAGGAGTTCGAGACCAACCTGGCCAACATGATGAAACCCCATCTCTACTAAAACTACAAAAGTTAGCTGGGTGTGGTGGTGGGTATCTGTAATCCAAGCTACTCAGGAGGCTGAGGTGGGAGAATCACTTGAACCCGGGAGGTGGAGGTTGCAGTAAGTCCAGATGATACCACTGCACTCTAGCCTGGGTGACAGAGCCAGACTCTGTCTCAAAAAACAAAACAAAACAAAATCGATAAAACTAACACCCATTTTAAATATTTTTCAAGCAGTAGTCTCAAAGAAGACATCAATAAAATTGAGAAATTCTAAAATGAAAGAAGTAAAAGGGATCAGATTCCCTGTTACATTTTCTCTAAAATATAACATTATGTGTCATGCACCTTGAGTTCTTAGAAAAAAATTATTGTATACATACATTAAGAGTAGTTTCTACATCTCTCATATTTTCATACCTTATATAGCTACACATGCACCCACAGACACTCCTAAGTACAATTACATTTGAAAATGCTATGAATGACCTACAATATGAACTTGCATGCAGTTTCTGATCCTAAGGCTATCCCTGATTATTCATGTGAAGTAATTTGACATCTGTAAATAATGAGTTCCTAACATGTTTAGAGAAAACCAGGCAAATCATTAATAACATACATTATTAATATTAATAACATAATTTTCCAAAATGTTTTCACATATATTTTGTTTTATTTAACATATGTATACCAGATGCACATGATGTATACAGTGTTAATTTGGCGAAAATCTTGGCAAATATTTTGATAAATTGCATTATAAGGGTATAGGTGGAGGGTGGAAAAACCTTTTCATGATACTCAGTAAAAAAGTCTTACAGCATGAATCCTGAGTGGCCCATTTAAAAATAAACCCTGATCACATAAAATAAGATTTAATGCTAAATGAGGCCTGTGTTATACAGGCGCTTCTAGATAAACTCTGTGAGCTGAGTATCTCATTTTGCTGCCACACAATTTTCAGTGTACATTAACAGCCTTCCCAAGAAATCAAAATGCTTTTAAATCATTCTGTTTGTTGCAAAACATTACTTTGGTCTATGCACAGAGAAGTTAAACCACATAAAAATTTAATATCCCCTAAGGATAAACAAAACAAAACAAAATAAATACCATAAAAAATGATGAGGTTAAGAAGGTTGACATGATTCCTATCAGAAAGGGGGCTTTCCTAAGAAATTTGTTTTCAGGGCTAGCTGAAGGACCTTTTGATAGAGATCATTGCTTTAACATAATTCAGAAGCAGTTAATGTTGGACAAGAAAGGAAAGAAGACCCAAGACAGTGAAAGGATAATTAACTCAGAGTCTTAGTTTTAATTTCCAAGGATTATATGGCAAAGTGATTATTTCACAATGGAAAACTGAACAGATAGATATATATTTTACTGTTTTATCTTGCGATAATCAACTGTTGCAGATACTAATTCTATTTTAACATCAACATGTGCTCCTCATTTTACCAATTGACCCACACAAAGCAGGTAAAGAAGAATGTTGCTTTGGATGAAACCAGGCACTTCAACTTTACAACCCTCCACAACTCTCTAATTTTCTGATATCCCCTGGAGAATGGCACCAGTGATGTGTCTGGGGTGGAATTCTGGAAGTTAGTTGTGCTCAACAGCCAGAAGGGAAAAACTCTTCCAAATAAGCAAAAGAACATAGGTCAGGGAGTCTGGTTTTATTGCTGATAGAAAGGAGCCAAAAACTGACCAAGAAGGTCAGCAGTCATGCAGCAATTACAACCAGGAACGAAGACCAACAGTGAGAACAAAGCAGAGAGAAAGGAAACTCCTTGAATTTGAGCATTTATCAGCTTAATTAATGAATATTGGCAAATTTTGTGCCAGTCTCTGCAGTAGACAATGGGATACTGCAGCAAGAAAGATAACTGTTCTCTAGCCGGGCGCGGTAGCTCAAGCCTGTAATCCCAGCACTTTGGGAGGCCGAGGCGGGTGGATCACAAGGTCGAAAGTTCGAGACCATCCTGGTCAACATAGTGAAACCCCGTCTCTACTAAAAATACAAAAAACTAGCTGGGCGTGGTGGCGCGTGCCTGTAATCCCAGCTACTCAGGAGGCTGAGGCAGGAGAATTGCCTGAACCCAGGAGGCGGAGGTTGCGGTGAGCCAAAATCGCGCCATTGCACTCCAGCCTGGGTAACGAGAACGAAACTCCGTCTCAAAAAAAGAAAGATAACTGTTCTCAGCAATCTTGTCTGCAGATGAGACAGACACTGATAAGATGCAAGTGTCATGAGTTCTGTAAAGGGGAAATTAGAAGTGCAATGAAAACATAACGGGAAAGGGCTAGCCTAGCTGGAGTCATTAGAGAAGGCAGTGAAATGTTTGCTGAAACTGGGAAAATGAGGAGTACATGTTTCCCTTCCTTCCCTCCTTCCCTCTGTCCCTCCCTCCGTTCCTTTCTTCCTTTCTTCCTTCCTTCCTTCCTTTCTTCCTTTCTTCTTTCTGTCCTTCCTCCCTTTTCTTCAGTCCTACTTACTTAGCAACACACCTGGAAGAATGCCTGACAAATAATAGGTTCTTAATAAATATATTGATGAGTTGGAAAATGATTATTCAGACTTCTAGTTTCTTCAGGAGAAAGTAGTCCCACTCTTACTAGGTA